AAACCGTGGCCCCGGCTTTTCCTCAGAGAACGCTCAACGCTCTTTTCCAATCCGGTGGTCACTGATTCCGTTTTCGGAGATTAATCATCGAAGCTGACGTGGCTATAGCGGAGCGCTTTGGCCTGCTACTCCATGGAATGCCTCTAAAGCCACAGAGAGGCAACTGAAACAATCGCGTAGGACAAGGACGCGCGCACTCCGCACGCGTTGTGTCCCCTGGTTCAACCCCTATTCGCGCCGGCTTTTTGGCCTGCACGGTCAACTGTTCTCTGTGCACTGCTAAAATTTCCTTTCAGTGGAGCAATCCCAAAGACAAACGCAAAAGCGAAAATAAAACGATCCTCAACGACTCGAAGTAGCGGACAATCACGTACTGAGCTAAATCGCTCTGCTGAGGTGAACGCGCTTCAAAATTAGGTGCTTCACGCCTCTCCCAAGTACACGACCTGAATGGATGGCCATTCTCGGGACCACCCCATAAAATTACTCTCAACTTTTTTCCTTCTCTTACAGACGAACAGCAACAATACGGCGGCGCTTTCTGCCGCAGCCGCCTTCTGCTCGAAGACCCACTCATAGCTGAATCGTATCCCAATCAAGTTACCTGCAGCAAATCATTAAACAAGAGGAAGTAGACTGATAAGTGATTGTGGTGATTGGCAAAAGGGACGTCAAAGTGTGGAACCTTTCGATCTCAAAGGTACAGAGCCGATCGCTGCGAAACCCTGAGCCTGTTATGACATGGACCTCTCGCATTGCAGTTTCGAGATACTTCATTCAATTCGGGTACACCTAGAATACCTTCCACGAATGGCTTGCCCACTTAGCACTGGTTTTTCTATTGCGGCGGAAAAAAACCGAATGTCTATTTATGGTTTAACATGAGGCTGGGACTGTTCATGGTTGACCGGGATGTACATTCAGGAAATCCATTTCAGTTGTATTGTCGGGCCTCATGGTCTGAATTCTGCACCCTTTTCGGTCATGCGAAACAGTTTGAACTGTTTTTTGTAGATATGCTCTGCTCCACTCAATTCCGTGCCATATCTTGCTGTAAGTAATGGGCCCTGACCACCGCAGGCAAGTAGCATGTTTGAACTGATTAAGCATTTTAGAAGCAAATTCACTGTATCAGCAACTCATTGGCAAAGTAGCGGCAGTTACTGAGAACTCTTGAAACGCCGCCCTGTCGACCTCGGACGCCGCCAGGGGGTGTTCGTTGGCTTGATGACTCTTCGGGAGATTAGAAAATTGACTGTTACTGTCGAGCTGGGATCTAGCAGGCTACTGTGTAGACTGAAGCCCATTGCTGTGGTTTCCACAATGTCGATTCGAAGGGGCAATGCGCTTCCTAAAAAAGGGCTGATAATCAGCCCAAAATTTATGGCCCATCCTTTTTGGTTCTGCTGCTTCAGCATCTGAATTTTCAATACTCCGTGGTAGAAGAGTTGACTTCTTTTTTGAACTAGTCTACTACCCACTACGCTAATGCGAAGAAATCAACAAAATATATGGGTGGTCGATCTGAAATAGCGAGTTTGCACGATGGGCGGAAAGTGAACATGGGAAACTACGTAACAATCTCTCGCCTCCCCCTCCCCCCCCCCCCACTGCCTAAGTTCCCCACAAGCCAGTGATAACACTCCGGAGTCTAGAAACATCCTTGATTGGTCTGAAGGAGGGACAAAACGGAGCGCCTAATTTTTCCCGGCTTCATTTGGTGCGTTTTCTTCAGCACATTTGTTTTTGACCTTTCTGCGCCGTGAATGTCAGACCCGCTTCCTACATTGCGCCGCAACATGGATTTCCTGACCTATGCTTGAAATCAGAACACGGCATTGTTTCCGGATTTTGTTTGAAAAGTGCTATTTCTCGCCCTCATTCTTTGCGGCCTACAAATATCTTGTGCCAGGGATCGTGTAGAAATTGCAATCTTCATGCTCATAAACATTATCATCATAGAACAACACAAATCAAGAACAAAATCAATTAATTAAGCAAAAAAAAGAGAAGACAAACGATGTGAGAGAAAAAAACGATAAAAAAATCCTATGTACACCCAATGAAACCCTATAGACGTTTGTGATAATAAAAGGCGCAATGAGTTCAGAATTGGGAAAACATTTCAACACAATGTGATAGGAGAAGTGTGTGCGTGTGTGTATGGAAATGATGCAAATTCAGCCAGCACACCGCGCGGCATACGGTAACTTTGGCAAAACGGAATATTCCATATCAATCGATAATCGATTACTCTCTATGTCTCTGGGGGGACTAATGGGACAGATTTTATACAATAAACTAAGCATAGCTACACGTGGGCGAATTTATGTCATTCATCTGGCTGGCAACAATTTTGGCCGAATAGCTCCCCTTGAAAATTCACACATGTACAACGATATGATGTAAAGTAATATATTAAGAGAAGCGATAATTTAATGAGAATAAATCGAAATCAGCCTCTTTTTGATGGTTCTTCTCTATCAGATACTCAACTAAATCACTACAAAGGGACGACTACGTACGGATTATGCTACACATATGAGACGTCTTGTTCGGTACCCGGAAACAAATCGCCGACGTTGTGTAGGCTGATAATATGCGCCGAATCTTTGGCACATTCTTTATCGTAGCTTGACGGTGAGTCGAGGTCCCGAGACGAATACTCTGAAAAATGTTACTGTAGGTGGAACAGCCAGACTCAAACGGAAGAATAAATAAGCTGAAAGACGCTTTTGGACTTGGAAGCAAAAACCGTGCTGACCATTTGGGCGGAGTCAGAGCTTCTGCGTCCCTTTTGGTGCATTTGGGCGGACGGAGTCACACATCCCATTAGCGCGCCTCTTCTATTCAAGTTATCAGATGGGCATACCTACGTGAAAAGCGGAATAGTGGGACTAACAGCGCCTAGAAAATCAGTGTGGATTGCAGCTTGATATGCAATCTTACAGACTTGTTCGCTGCGGGTGATGGGGCGCGTCAGTGAGGCGATTTGGCGCGCCGCCAACTCGTTCTGTTGATGGAGCGGAAAAGCCACAACAATCTCGCCTTGTCGTTTGCCAATAGAAAAATAATGGGCCGGCGCAGCGCCAAACCCCTTTGGCGAGTCGATCAGCCGCAGCGAAGAAGTCTGTAATCATAAGGGTCTTCGAGTGGCAATGGTGACAGGCACCCACTAAATAACACGTGAGGAAAACCTAACTATCACTTGGCGATGCATCAAGGAGTTGCGCCCAGCGTCATCGTTGTGCGAATCGTTGGGTGAGTCCCAGCTGGGAGGCGGAATGGGGCCCTTGGGTCATTTGGCCCTTGGCTCTCCATTCGTCATTTTACATGTCCTCATTTCACGTGCGCTGTGCACCCTGTGGTTGGAAGCGCCGAAAATCTGCTCTTTCCGATGGTTGATCAGACCAGGTTTTTGCCGCCCTCAACGCTCGACGGCTAGATTTTTGAAATATTGGTAAGATGGTCAATCGGTTGCAGTACGGAGCTGTACCAGCGAAGAAAACTGTGGGGAGTGCGTGCATGTAGCCAAAATTTCCCACAACGCCTCGACATGCCCTGGTTACAAACCCTTTGACTGGCGGGCTCCAAAAATACCATTCCTGATGGTCGTACGGAATTGTGAACCCGCTCGTAGCTCGGCCTTTAAAACGGCAAACTAGACGGAGAATTCAATAAGATGAAGTAGACAGGCTTTGGGATGGGAGAGGGGGGCCATACAGAAACACCATTTTTCAAAATTTATTCAACTATTCAACCAATATGGTTAGGACTGAGGTTTTGTTATCAAGATTTCAGTGCTAACCACTTTTCAAAATCATGGTGATTGGCATTAATCCCGACAGCCCCTCCCCCTATTCCAGCTTTCTCCAGCTCATTCACGTAGGACTAGTTCTCTGCAACCGACCCCGTCCCAAAATTTTCCCTTCTGAGCCTTTTGGCTCAAATCGACTTCTGGTTCAGTTTGAAGTTTTTGTCCTTGCAAGTCACATTTATTTCAAAAGTGCAGTATATGTATGTCAATGGCAGTTATCGCAAAGCATCAGTACCGGAATTCCTATGGGGAAAGCAAAGCAGCCCAACGCGCAAAAAGATGAAAGGATAGTTCATATCCGCTTTCTCAGGGCACACAAATCATGCATGGAGCTTTTCCATCACAAGAAGGGAGAGAAGGAAAATGGATGTGCACGGTTTGCAGCGCTCCTTTTCACACTCTCCAAGACAAAATACCATCCGAACGAAAGTTTAAGACCTAGCATCCCATCGAATTCACGGCTCTTTCAACTGTGGAAGCTATTTTGAAGCAAAATACGGGTAAATAAATAGGAAAATATGCAGTAGGAATCAATAACAACAGGGAATAGCCGAGCGGTTCAGAGTGCAGGCCTAGGGTTCGATCCTTGCCCATGACAAACACACTTTATGCGAAACTGTTGAACGGCATTGATCCTGGAGCCAATAAGAGAGTTTTCACAGTCCGTGAAACGTTGTTAGTCTAATCCAAGCCGTTGCAGGAACCCGTTCCCTTTCCTTGACTTGAGGCGCGTGTGCTAAGCGCGCTGCGCATACCAAACTATTGAGCCACTGCGGTGGAAAGCATATCACGGGGTACTGCCGGAGGCGGTATAACGTTGCAATAAAAGGTGCCTCGAACCTGGTAAACTGAAGACGATTACTGTAGCAGCCATTCCCAGGATCGCAGTACTTCTTTCTAGACTAGAGTTAGGTCTAGCTTCAGGACTGACTGATTAAGGGTTCAATCACATCGAAGTGTTAATGCCCATCAAAAGTCAGTGATCACGTCCATGCATCACTGGGGTAATGGGAAAGCGGAAGGCATGGAAGGACAAAACAAGCGCAAGACTAGACAAACCACCAAACTAAGTTTACTCAACAGGACAAGAGGCAAAGTCAATCAGATCTTTGGTGAGAATTCAAATTCTTACAGTACTTTATTTTTTTACTGTAACTTGAAACCAAAAGGAACACGTATTGTGTCAAAGCTTACCTTTGTGTGACTGACGTCGCTGAATTAATTTACCATCTCGATTCCTATCCACAAAAATTTGACCCTTAAATACAGATTATTTAACAGGATTCACCATCAATAAGTATTCAGATAAACTAACAACGGGTGCCGAAGCCTCAGATCGGCCGACTGTACCGCCGAAACGGAGAAAAACCCACCTTAGATACATCAACGGTAACGTCAGCGGCACAACGATTCAAGGCAGTTTTGTCTCCGAGTGATCTGTAAAACTGCAGGTATTGCTCAGTAGCCAGGAAAAGTGAGGTTAACTGGAAGCCAGTGGAACCCAAGAATACGGTATCTAATACAGAAGTCTGCCTTACTTCTGTCTAGAGACGGGCGTTTGTCGTTCGCTGTTTGGCGATATAAGTATACTTGTGGTGTAACTACGCCGTTTTTCTCGTCGATCATCTTTCTCAAATCGTCGCTTCTGATCTTCTGGGGAGCCTTGACAGCTGATTGCACGCTCATCCGCTGAAAGAAAGATTTTGCTAGGAATGCTAGGATAATGAACCGAAGACTAAGAGTTACAAAGAAGTAATCTTTTCAAAGCCAATTGACTATAAGGACTTCACAATGTCTGATGACCCAAGGACTTCCAAAATGTTCGTTGTAATCGAATAAAACTGCCAAACCCCCAAGGAACTTAATGAGAAAGTTGGCGGGACCTTTGACTTCTCAGCCATTTTGAAAACTTCCCAATTTTTCAGAAAATTCCAGGGATAGGGACCAAGATCCCCAAAGGGCACGGGGCACGTCCCGCTCTTGGAGAAGTTCTAATACGACACATTTCAGAAGCTACGCTTTACGACTTCCCTTCCATCGCCTGGCGCACCTACCATCTCTTTGGACTTTTTCCATTTTCCTAGAGCTTTCCGGGAGTTGTTGGTAAAAAATTGCCTTCAATTTCCCCAAAGCTGCCTTCGAGTGGAGGTCGGGGATACATCCCCTCCGTCTCTTCAGCGTCGAAATATGACCGGTTGCTGAGGATCCCTTACGAACGACGTGCATTGTGCGGCAATCGAAACAAGCTGTTGTTTCCCACTTAACTTACTAAGCATACTACGGCAACTTCACCAAATCAACTGCAGTCGCGTTCGCTACGGAAGCTGGGGCTTGTCACGGGGCTAGGTTTGGCGCGGAGTCAAACCTTGCTGTTGAAGCGAGCAAGCGACTATAATAGGTGAAAAACGGGCTGTCTGCGCGCCAGACTCAACTGAAACACTGCTTCCATCGCGTCGTCGTGGACTTTTGGACATGATATTTGTGAATCTGTTGTTGCTGAGGTTTCGCTGCTTACTTTGGGTGAAAAAGTGAAAGAAAAGAAAAGACGAAAGAAGAGTTGAAAATGGTCAAGGCATCAGGGCCAACTCACCTCGCTCTCGCCTCGTACTCTTCAGAAGGTCGGGTGTAGGAGGTTGAGGAACGAACAGTTGTTCATCATCTTCTAGATCTATCACGTCTTCGTCGACGATATCTTCATCATCAGAGACGTTACCCGCGTCTTCCTCCTGAATATATGAGATAGTGAAATGGTACTAAGTAAAAGAGGTTTAATTAGTCGTGAGTACAATTCTCGAAAGGGTCTGAATGACGACACGATATATTAAGAGAGCCAGTTTTGGGAAGTTCATAGTTAACTAGACCTCCTCCACAACGACCTTCGGGTCTCACTTTTGTTTGGCTTTTCCGTATTTCCTTGTACAGGCTCGGGAAAAAAGCCGATGCGGGTTTCCCGGCCATTAAAGTTCGCGCATCAGGTGGATTGTCTTCGAGAATGGTAATTTTTAGTCATCCAAAGAGTCGACAGTCTGCCTGTCGGACCCACAATATGCCCCCCAAGCAAGATTTCTACATGGCAAAAAGATACTTGTTGAATACAGTCCACGTATTCTTGTGGGCGGAGACGTGAGAACCATTGCTAACTCTCTTTCTCTGGCATGCTTCTCACTCTGCTAGGCAGCAAGGAAGGCGACCGAAATAGCGCTGATGAGAAACATGGCTGGTTGTCGTGTGCATCATACAAAAGAACGCATGCTTCCGCGACACAACCGTAGCTTAGTACTGAGGAGACAAATGAGCATCGCTCAGCTATGGATAAATCCCCTACATAAAAGTGTTCGAAGACCCAATTTACATGTATAAATCTGCTCTGTAGAATAGAGTGAAGGTTCGAAAACTATTGGAAAAACACTAAAAAAGGAAAAAGGACGAATATGGAAGAATTCATGAAAGTCACCTTCGGTGGCTCTTCCAAAGCATATTTTGAGAAGAATTCATCCCAGTCCTTTGTTCGATCGACACCGAAGATCGTCTGTAAAAAGAAAAATCGAAATAGTTGGAGAAAATGGAGCGATTGGCCCGCCTAAGCCGACACGAGCCGTGTTTTGGCATGCTTTCAATTTAAAGGAGTATCGAGCATCAAATCTACCGAATTCAGTGTACTTATATGTTACCACACCGTAGGGAAAACACGTACATTCCGACATTCGCCACTCCCCCCCCCCCCGCCCGTCCCTCCGAGCCATTTGATACAAGGCGCCAAATTACAGGGCGGCATCTACAACCTTGGCGATTGGGAGACGCCACAAAGCCACACAAAAGTGAAAGAGTCGTGTATAGCCGCTCCCGCCCGATATATCAATCGATAATTATTGTTAAGTCTCCATTTCTACGAAGAAGACCATGAGCAAAAAGGATGGAAAAAGACACTTACAAAGGCATGCGTGATGAAACATTGGACTGTTCGATTCGCGTGCTGGGCATCAATAATGGGGCTGCCGTATGATCAGCAGATGTGGCTATGGACGGTTGCCAGATGAGAGACGGCGCCACAACCGTTGATAGATTTGATGGTCCCATTAGATTCGATTCTTGGAACCTGAAAACGACTGGGTTATTTGTTGGATGAGAAGATGTTGTCGAAGATAAAAGGATAAAATGATAAAGTCTCCGCCGTTGATCAATCCCTTTGTGGGATGGGGCACGCATTCTACTTCCATTCAGAATCGTAGTGGCTTATTGAATGCGATGTGGCCTATACAATGACTTGCGGGGGCCAGCCGATGTACAAGTCAGTGTTTTATCCTCCCAGACGAATCTGTCCAACTTACCGTTCCCAGGAATGGTAGAAGACTCGGTTGTCCAGGCATAAATCCACCGATGATTTCGACCCTAAGACGCACCGCGAGTGGTAGCGCGCCACTTATCACAAACCACTTACCTCTTGCCCACCTTGTACAAGACAAATAGGAGAAATCAATCAGGAAATCTTTATTGCTGTGGGGGATTTTCGGATGTTCCAGCCTTCCAAAGCTTACACGAAAGACTAGTGAACTCTTGCGACTTTTCCTTTTCAAGAGCTCAAAAACTAGGTCGTTAGCATTATTCTGACTCATCGGTAACTGCCCAAACCCATTCTCCGAATATGACTCTTTAATAGGTCAACGCCCTCGAATACAGCCCCTCATAGCCCAAGCACCTGGCGAAAAAAAACTCCGCTCTCCCCGGGGGTCTATGACTGCGAGTGCCCGAAGAGATGGACTTCGTAAGTGCTAAATCGTTCCGTTCGTGCCTCTACTTATATCCGATCAAGCAGCTCGTTCGACGCTGCTTGAATCGAATCATCACTCGGGCCACATCAAAAACAAAAAATGCTCAGGAAATTGAATAGCTAGGAATACGAATGGAACTCTAAGAAATGCTATGTAATCCACCTACCACGTGACGCGATTCAGATGAAGCATCAGATGTTTCAACGTCTCATAATTACAGACCGGTAAACGACGTGTCAATCGTTTCAGCTCTTCCAAATGCTCGTCGTCCGGCTCGTCGTTACACTTCTGGAAAGATTAAGTAAACATTCATAGTCAGACCATTCCATAGGTTGGGATTCTGTGACGCGTAGGAGGGGCCGACAACATCTTGTTCAGCGCGCAGCGCGCCTGTTTAAAACTCCTTATAAAAAGGTCACTTTTAATTCATCTTGTCAGAAGTACATAGGGAGAGCTATTATTGAATCCGAAAAAAATATTGGTAGGAAGTCAGAAAATCGAACAGAGGGCCAAAAGCGGTCGGAGAGTGTGAGATGACAGAGAGCAGAACACTTTGAGGCCGAGGCTACAGCAGTGCACACCACTGCGAAAAACCCTGCCGTAGCCTGTGATACAATCTTTTTCAACCGATACCCCCTCTTCAGGTTTTTTCACCCCGCTCAATAGCTAGAAATTCGATTAGATCGGATGAAAGGGGAGTGGTACATATTACCACACCAAAGCCGGAGAGAAAACTTGGACCTTTTACTGAGATTTCCCAAACCATTACTTAACTACGCCAGTCTTAGTTTGAGAAAGTCAAACATGATCCTACACTGCGGCTTTTAACGTCTTATGGCGCATCAGTAGGAGAGGGGGATATGGTGGATGGCTGTCTCCGCCCATTAGACCAATGCGGACAATGCCCAAATACCACCCCGCCCGAGGGTTTCTTGATCGGCTTAAAAAAACTTGTGCCTATCAAAGTACCGTACTGCTTGTTACTCAAAAATAATTTTGTAAAATTTTTGAATAAATGGTGACATGAAGAAACTCACCACGCCAAAACGTATCCACTCATTATACATCTCGTAGGTCAACAACGGTTCCGGAAGTTTCCTAAGGTAGAGTTTCACAACAGAGGCGAGATTCATCGGATGTACATGTTCGAGATCGACGGTGGAATCACCCGCACATCGTTCGAATGCTTCACAAATCTCCTCGATTTTCGACTTCACACCACATGTTCGATAAATTCCCTGAAAAAAGGAGCTTCTTAGCATTGCTACCATTTTTTAAAAGTTTCGAATCATTGGTGAATCTAACAAGAAAGACTCGGAAGATATCAAGTTTCAAAGCAGCGACTGCAGGGAAAACGCCATTTGAATGCGCAGTTTACGGCAGGGGAGGAGACGGTCAATCGCTGTCAACAACAACTCATTCCTAGAAAAGAAGGACCACAAGCTGACTGCGCATATCCTCCCTTTTATCGTTTTGCGGCGCATCAGTAGGGAAGGTACAGGGGATGACTGTCCCCGCCCATGAAGTCACTGTAGACAATGGCATCATCCCATACCAATCATCCGATAGAAGTGTATTTTGAACCCAAACAATTATATGAGTTGTCAATATATTCAATTTGAGCATTACTTGAAAACAAAAGGTTGCAGTGGGGTCTACC